TTAAACATCAGGCCAGGGTGGAGGCATCAGGGCAGCTCTCACAGAGGGCAAAAGTAAGAAAGGCAGCATTGACCTGGACCTGCCCTGCATTCTTGCCTAGAGAAGGCTGTTCAAACTCTTGAATCACACTAAGATTACCAGACTGGACTAAATTAAGTCTTTTCTGGGATTTGCCACCTCGCATAGGAAGAGCTTCGTGAGGGAAATCATATCAGTAAGAAGCAAAACAAGAAAAGCACATTTTCTGCACATCTGGTTGTAATAAGAGTAATCCATAACTCCACTAAATATTTTTATGAGTACATACATATATTTTCTAAAAGACCATCTAGTTCCTCAGCACTCCATTCAAAGGGAAGATTGAATGAATGCTGCCTAAATTTTACAAAAATATTGTCCTTGATTTACAATTGCCCAGGGAAGCCTTTGGGAGCAATTTTCCACAATTACCTTTTATGAGCAAAAGCATTTACCTTTTGTCACATGCCCTGATACAATACAACCCTATGATAGACTCGTCCTTCCAACCTAGCAAATCGGCTCCTCAAATGTTCATGAACCTCCTTCCCACCCCTTCACAGAGGAAAATCTCCCTCCCTTGGTGTCCACACAATGCTGTCCACACACTAAAGGTCAATTAATGAGATCTTTCATCTTATTATTCACCTTCCCAACAAAATGCTACACTACTGCTGGAAACAGAGATATGGTAGCTCACAAACCACACTGTAGGTCAAAAATCAGAGAGAAGAGGGTTTATGGCCAAGATGGAGGCATAGATAGATATGCTTCACCTCGTTGCACAACCAAAAGAAGGCTAACAACCAAATTAAAAACAAAAAGCAACCAGAACTGCCAAAAAATCTAACTGCATGGAAGTCTAACAACCAAGGAGTTAAAGAAACGTTTATCTAGATTGGTAGGAGGGACAGAGATGGGAAGCCTGGGCAGTGAGGATGCACAAAAAGTCATGGCTGGTGGACCAGGGTGGGCAACATGGCAGCTGGTGGACCAAGATATCCCACATTCCCATGTAGATAAGCCAAGAGGAACAACTGAGGAGTGAGTCAGACCCTGCAACCCAGGGTTTCAGTGTGGGGAAATAAAGCCTCAAAACCTCTGACTGTAAAATTCTGTGGGGGTTGCAGCATTGGAAGGAACTCTCAGTCTCACAGGAGAGTCTGTTAGAGGAGTCCACAGGATCCTAGAACATACACAAGTGCACTGACCCAGGAATCAGCACCAGAAAGGTCACAATCTGCTTGTGGGAAGCAAAGAAAGTGATGGAAAGTGGGGTGAGAGCAAAGCAAGCAGCATTGTTCCCTCTATGATCCTTCCCCCACATACAGTACCGCAACACACAAGTTGCTCTGCCCTGGTGAATACATAAGGCTCTGCCCCTTACAATGTAACAAGTGCACCAAGAAAAAGAAACATGGCCCAAATAAAAGAACAGATCAAAACACCAGAAAAAGAACTAAGTGACAAGGAGATAGCCAACCTATCAGATGCAGACTTCAAAACACTGGTAATCAAGTGTTGGGAACCGCCCTGCCTGGTATCAGAAGCTGTAACCCCTGCCAAGGCTAAGGCTTAGGGAATGACCTTGGACCATAAGTCACCAAGGAGACAAAAGCTTATCTCCCTGGCAGGAGCACCTCTTCTGCTCCTTTTACTTCACCCTGCCTGGCCCTCAATGCTTGGTCAGTTAGCCAATGATGGGTAAGATTCCCCAAGGGGGGAATGATCTAAGATAGGCATGATCACATGGGAGGCCCCCAAGGGAGGACTTTGAGGGGTACAACAAAAGGGGGTGATGGACCCTTGCCCCTCGGCTTTGACAAAGCCTGAGTCCTCATTGTCTGCGAGAAAATCTCCTAATCTCTTGGCTGCCTTACTTCCCTTGCTCCACCTAAGCCTGAAACAATGATGGAGGGTGATGCAACCCTGTGCTGGAAAGGGCAGGTTCCCTGGGTGATCAGACCTAAGAAAGAATATATAAAATCCCGTGGAACCTGCTTTGTTTAGAATGCTCTCAATGAAATGATAAGAGTCCAAGGAAGAAGTAAGTTTGTTCCTTAAAGTTTTATAGTTCTTTAGCTATCCGACCCTGACTCAAAATAGGCCCTCAGAGTTCTTTGTTATCTATTGTTTGATCCTTACTTCCTGGCAATGACTAATGAGCTTTACCTGAATTCCTGTGTAAACAAACCCAATAAAAGCCTGCTCGGGCAGGGAAATGGCATGCTCTCCCCTAGGGAGGGTGGCCAAGGCACTCCCCACTAGAGAGAGTGGTCATTCTGTCCCTATTTCCCCACAGGACCTGCTCGTCTCTGTGTATGTTTTTCCTTGTATTTCAACGAGCCATCTGCAGTGTTCCATGGTCACTGCAGGCTGGCGGTCATGTCAATCAAGATGCTCACAGAATGACTGAGTTCAGTACCAAAATGAGGGAAGAAATGAAAGCTATGCAAAGTGAAATAAAGAAAAAAATACAGGGAACCAACAGTGAAGGGAGGGAAACCATGACTCAAATCAAAGATTTAGAATAGAAGGGAGAAATAAACATTCGATTAGAACAGAATGAAGAAACAAGAATACAAAATAATGAGGAGAGGCTTAGGAACCTCTGGGACAAATTTAAATGTTCCAACATCCAAATCATAGGGATGCCAAAAGGAGAAGAGGAAGAGCAACAAATTGAAAACTTATTTGAAAAAATAATAAAGAAAAAGTTTCCCCAATCTGGTAAAGGAAATAGACATGCAAATCCAGAAAGCTCGGAGGGTCCCAAAGAAGTTGGATCCAAGAAAAACACACTAAGACACATAATAATTAAATTACCCAAAATTAAAGATAAGAAGGGAATCTTAAATGCAGCAAGAGAAAAGGAGAGAGTTACCTACAAAGGAGTTCCCATCGGACTATCAACTGGCTTCTCAAAAGAAACCATGCAGGCAAGAAGGGGCTAGAAAGAGGTATTCAAGTCATGAAAAGCAAGGACCTACAACCTAGATTACTCTATCCAGCAAAGCTATCATTTAGAATGGAAGGGCACATAAAGTGCTTCCCAGATAAGGTCAAGTTGAAGGAGTTCATCATCACCAAACCCTTATAATATGAAATGTTAAAGGGACTGATCTAAGAAAAAGAAGAAGATAAAACTATGAATAGTAAAATGACAACAAACTCACGATTATCAATAATTGAACTGAAAAAAAAACTAAGCAAACAACTAGAACAGGAACAAAATCACAGAAATAGAGATCACATGAAGAGTTCTCAGTGGAGAGGAGAAGGGGAGAGATGGGGGTAGAATGTACAAGGAATAAGAAGCATAATTGGAGCCCTGGCTGGCATAGCTCAGTGGATTGAGCGCGGGCTGGGAACCAAAGTGTCTCAGGTTCGATTCCCAGTGCGGGTACTTTCCTGGGTTGCAGGCCATAACCCCCAGCAACCTCACATTGATGTTTCTCTCTCTCTCTCCCCTTCCCTCCCTAAAAAATAAATAAATAAAATCTTTAAAAAAAATCTTCATTTTAAAAAAAAAGAAGCATAATTGGTAAGTACAAAAAAGGAGAAAAAAATGGGACAACTGTAATAGCATAATGAATAGAATATACTTAAAAATGATTAAGGCAGTTTTATTTAAGAAGGACATTGGAGCAGGGAGGGTAGGAGAGAACCTGACCTAGACTATTCACAAATGTCAGTATCATGAAAGACAAAACAAGCCCACTTAAATGCTCTAAAGGACACAGCCAAATGCAACTGAGGATCTTATATAGGGAAACAGCTAGGTTACGGGGACATTTGAATACAGACTGCACGGTACATAACAGTCTTACCTAATGGCTAAGTTACCAGGGCTTGATCATTGTGTTGTCATTATGTAGGAGAATGCACTTGTACTCAGAAGACACATGTTGAAGTATCTAGAGATAAAAGTGTCATATCTGCAACTTTCAAATGGTTTAGATAAAACTATGGTTGTGCATGTCTGCATGTGTATGAAAGACAGAATGCAAATGTGGCAAAAATGGTAACAATTGGTGTGAATGTAAGTGAAGGTTGTAGAAGTGTTCATTATACATTGCCAGAGGTCACCATTAATATTTTCATATAATTCTCTATAATGTGTTAAAAGTGAAAAAAAAATGTACATTTTACAATGTAAAAAAAAAGAGAAAGAGAGAAAGGTTTATTGGATTTAGTAAACCAGAGGTCACTGGTAATTCTGGCAAAAGCTGTTCCAAGAGAGTGATAGGAAGGAAACTAGCTGTGTGGGTTAAATAGTGAACAAGATTGGCAAAGTAGAGACAACAGCTTTGTCAAGAAGTTTGCATATGAAAAGGAGGGCATAGAGGAATGGTAACTAAATGGAACCTAGAACAGAAGGAGAGGACATAAGCAAGTTCAGGAGCTGAAAGGAAAGAAGGTGGTTGATGGGCAAAAGGCCAGGAGGCAGGATGTTTAAGTGAGAGGCAGTGGATCCCTCAGCCAGGTGCAAGAATTCTCCAGAAAGAGGAGGGAGAGACACTTGTCATGCTAACCCTAGAAGGAAAAAAGAAAGTGCATGTGTGAATTCAGGCAAGTCTGTCAGCTGGGGGCTGGGGTTGCCTGTATCTTCTTTTTAAAGAAGGAAGTGAGGATTCAAAACTCTCAGAGACAGAAATGGACTAGGCAAATCTCCACCTTCAGATGAGCAGTCTCTTCCAGAAGCCATTAGATAGGAAGGCATGAAAATCCCCAGACCTGATATGGAATCACCGTGGCCTGGAGTCAGAGTCCTAGAACAGACCTTATTGCTCTTCTGTGGGAACACCTTCCCTGGTATGTCTCTTGGATTTCCCTTTTGGCAACCTTGGCTCAGAAGTTTCCTCATAAAGTCTGGTTCACTTTTTCCTGTCCAACAGCCCTGACTGCTACCAAGCTCTGAGTCACAGCGGAAGTATCAGAGACCACTTCAGTAAAAACAGCAGCTGTAGCAGCAACAGCAGGCCATAAATATGGACTACTCAAATACAGAAAACTTTGACAAGGAGAATTACATCCAGGAGGAGTTCTCCAATTACAGTTACAACACTGACCTGCCCTTTTTGCCCCACCCTGTCCCATGCCAGCCAGAATCTCTGGATATCAACAAGTATGCTGTGGTTGTCATCTATGCCCTGGTCCTACTGCTGAGCCTCCTGGGAAATTCCCTGGTGTTGCCGGTTGTCTTACACAGCCAGGTCAGCTGCTCTGTCACTGATGTCTACCTGCTGAACCTGTCCCTGGCAGACCTGCTCTTTGCCCTGACCTCGCCTATCTGGGCTGCCTCCAAAGCACAGGGCTGGATCTATGGCACAATCTTATACAAGGTGGTCTCACTACTGAAGGAAGTCTACTTCTACAGTGGTATTCTACTACTGGCCTGTATCAGCATGGACCACTACCTAGCTATTGTGCATGCCATACACGAACTGACTCAGAAATGGCACTGGGTCAAGTTCATATGCTTAGGCATCAGGACCATATCCCTGATCCTGTCCCTGGCCATCTTTGTCTTCCACAGGACAATCCACCCATCTAATTCTGGCCCTATCTGCTATGAGGATCTGGGTGCCAATACAACAAAATGGTGCACTATGATGCGGGTCTTGCCTCAGACCTTTGGCTTCCTCGTGCCCATGCTTGTCATGCTGTTCTGCTATGGACTCAGCCTGTACACGCTGTTTCAGGCCCATGTGGGGAAGAAGCACTGGGCCACGCAGGTCATCTTTGCTATTATGCTCATCTTCCTGCTCTGCTGGCTGCCCTACAATCTGGTCCTGGTGTCAAACACCATCATGAAGCTCCAGGTCACCAAGAAGAACTGTGAGTGCCAAAACAACATTGGTCAGGCCATGGATGCCACCAAGATTTGGGGTTTCTTCCACAGCTGTCTCAATCCCTTTATCTATGCCTTCACTGGCCAGAAATTTCACCATGGATTTCTTAGGATAATGGCCATCCATGGCCTGATCAGCAAGGAATTCCTGGTCAAGTATGGCAAGCCATCCTTCATTGGGTCTTCCTCAGGGAACACTTCTACTACCGTCTAACACCCCCATCCCTGGTGCAGCCCCACAAGCCTCCTCCCCTTTGTAAGCACCCAAGACTCATGTCTACTGGCTATTCACAGTCTCTGTCAGGACAGCTCTTCACTGAGGTCACAGGAAGTTACTGAGGCCATGACCTTGCCAGGCACCATTGTATGGTTCAGAAAGCCTGCCTTACAGCCTCACCTCTTATTATAATCACTATGTCAATGGCTAGAGCTCTGTCCATCCTACCACTGAGCCCATAGCACTCTGTCCTCTGAGACATTTCAAAGACATGCTTTTAAGTGAGTTCAAAAAGTTCCCACCCTTGGAAGCCATTAGTGGCAAACACCACAGTTACTTCCCTAACTCTCCCTTTCCTTGCCTGCTAGCAAAGTCAGCTTCCCTTGAGAGAGGTTGAAAATGACAGATGCACACTTCCATGACTCCTTTAAGGTACAAGTGGCCATATTCTCCAGTTCTGACTAGGAAGACTTACAGGCAAGTATGTGCTGTAAACCAATGTCCCATGTCACCAAGTTCTGTGTTATCAATGCTCCCATAAGGGCAGTATCAAAGGTGGTGGTAGTTAGCAACCAGCTCACAAAATTCTAGAAAATGTAGTAATCTGTTTTCATAAGCAAGTACAAACTGGCTTCTGCAAAACATTACTTAAGAGGAATCTGCTGGGGCCAAGGGACTCCTGGAAAATACTTCTGATTAAATAAGAGAGGAACACACACTTCCACATCCTTGGGCCTTGTATTTGAATATGGATATAGGATATATGTGGTGATGAGGCAGCAACTTGTGACAATGAGGCAAATAAATATATATCACACTTAGGCTGATGAAGTCAGAGAATTAAAAGAACTTAAAATTGAAGAGCCCAGAAATGAACCTAAGTAAGCACAAGAACAAAACTGCTCCCTTACCTTACATTATATACTAAAATTAACTCGAAATAGATAGAAGACCCAAACATAAGAACAAAAAGTATATAACTCTTAGAAGAAAACAAAGGGATAAAAGCTTCACAATATTGGATTTGGCAATGATGTCTTGGATATGACACCAAAAACACAGACAACAACAAAAAATAGATAAATTGCTCTTCATCAAAGTTAAAAACTTTAGTGCATCAAAGGACACTCTTAACAGAGTAAAAATACAAACCACAGAATGGGAGAAAATATTTGCAAGCCATGTATCTTATAAGGGGTTAATATCTAGAATATATAAAGAATTCTTATAACTCAACAATGCGGGGGGGGGGCTTATTCAAAAATAGGCAAAGTATTTGGAGAACAGACATGCCTCCAAAGAACACATATGAGGAAAAACATAGCAGGTGTTGGTGAGGATATGAAGAGACCAGAATACTTGTGCAATGCTGATGAGAAACAGTATGGCTATCCTTCAGAAAAATTAAACTTAGAATTACTGTATGATCTAACAATTCCAGTTCTGGGTTATAGCCAAAAGAACTGAAAGCAAAGACTCAAATGGGTATTTGTACATTGATGTTCCTAACAGCATTATTCCAGCAATAGCCAAAAGGTGGAAACAACCCAAGGGTCCATCAATGGATGACTGGATAAACAAAATGTGGTATATACATACAATAAAATATTATTCACTCTTAAAAAGGAACAAATTTCTAACATATGCTACAACATGAATAAACCTAGAATATACTGTGCTAAGAGAAATAAGCCAGATACCAATACTCTATGATTCCACTTACATGAGGTACCTAAAATAATTAAATTGACAGAGACAGAAAGTAAAATAGTAGTTACTAGGGAGTTGAGGGAAGGGAGAATTGGGAGTTATTATTTAATGGATACAGAATTCAGTTGGAGATGATAAAAAGATTCTGGAGATGGATAGTGGTAATAGTTGTACAACAATGTGAATGTACTTAATGCCATTAAACTGTACATTAAATGTTAAAATGGTAAACCTTGTTGTATATATTTTACCACATTTCTTTTTAAATCCAGTTGCAAAAAAAGCAAACCCTGGAACCACTTGCCTATAATGTCCTATTAAGTGAGATAATTAAATACATACCTTTTATGTAAAAAAAAAAATCACAGAGAGGAGGAAGCAGGTTGGATGGACAGCTTTGATCCCCATGTAGTCATTTGTTTTTATTTTGCTTTTGCAAAGCAACTGCATGTGTTGTACAACTGAGAAGCAATTCAAAACAAAGCAAAACAGAAATGTCTTTCTAAAATAGGTCTTTGTCTGTATTAAGCAATCAATAAGTATTTGTGGGTTCCTATACTGAATGGAGGAAGCAGGTAACCCCAGAGTCCCAGGCAGGATCTGGCCCTGGCTCTGGCCTCAGGAAGACACCTGTTTTCACCCCCAAGAGGTCAGTTCTCAGGAAGCACAGTAGGTAGGTCAAGGTACCAAAAACTAGAAGAGATAGATACTAATGAGGAAACTGAAGGGGAGGGTCAAAGCAAGGAGACATGAATAGGGGAAACAGGATGGTGGAGAAAAACAATAAAATATTCCTAAAAAGCAAGTGAGGGTGAAAGAGAAGTGAAGAGGGGCAGGGGTACAGAGCAGGTCAAGGTGAGTTCAGGATAAATTTCACAAATCTTGGCCCATGGTCTTTAGGTTTTGTTTTTGCCTGAGTTGGTTCTTCACCCTGCATTGGGACAGGACCTTCCAGTAGCCTGATGGTGCCACACGTTCACAGTCTCAGGGGACACAGAGAAATGATCTACAGGGTAAAAGCTAGATACACAGGGCAGCACATGCATAGGACCAGGAGAGGAACACAGATGATGACTTGCAGGTACCCAGAAGGGAGGAGCGTTGAGCAGGGGGTCCAGGGGAGGCTTTTGACTGAGACTTGAGGAGGGCTGGAAGATGGGAGCAGTGGACACACTGCAGCTCTGCTTCTACCTAACCTCAGCCAAGCTCAGAACTCCTTGACCCTCTGACATCCCTCCCACAGAGTGGTCCAAACCCTCTCTGTCCAATAAGGTGGTTACTAGCCACAAATGCTATTGAAACAGAAATTGAAATTAATTAATATTAAGTAAAATTTAAAATTCAGTTCCACATGTGACTAGTTGCTACAGACAACAAAGAGAATGGACATTTCCAAAATCTCAGAAAGTTATATCGAACAGAGCTTCTCAAAAAAAAAAAAAAACAGTAGTCAGTGACAATCCAGCAATATAAATTTAGTCTCAGAGTATATGGAAACTTTGGGTTGGGAATATATAAAGGTAATTTTAATCTAAAAAATCTCAAAGTAGGAGAAGACCCCATGCAGTGCTGCTAACACCCCCAGTGCTGAGGTCATCATTGGATTTGAAATATTTAAAGTGGATAGAAAACTGTTTCAGCAATACAAACTATTAAGTGCATTGTTGTGGGTGATGGTGCCATTGGTAAAACATGTCTCCTGATATCCTACACAACAAACAAATTTCCATCTGAATATGTACCAACTATTTTTGACAGCTATGCTGTCTCAGTTATGATTGGTGGAGAGCCATATACTCTTGGACTTTTTGATGCTGCAGGGCAAGAGAGTTATGGCAGATTGTGACCGCTGCATCCACAAACAGATGTATTTCTAGTCTGTTTTTCAGTGGTCTCTCCATTCTCATTTGAAAATGTGAAAGAAAAGTGGGTGCCTGAGATAACTCACCACTGTCCAAAGACTCCTTTCTTGCTTGTTGGGATCCAAATTGATCTCAGAGATGACCCCACAACTACTGAGAAACGTGCCAACAACAAACAGAAGCCTATAACTCCAGAGACTGCTGAAAAGCTGGCCCATGATCTGGAGTGTTCTGCGCTCACACAGAAAGGCCTAAAGAATGTACCTGATGAAGCAATATTGGCTGCCCCAGAGCCTCCAGAACTGAAGAAGAACCACAGGTGTGTGCTGCTATAAACATCTCTCCAGAGCCCTTTCTGCACAGCTGGTGTCAGCATCATACTAAAAGCAATGTTTGAATCAAACTAAAGATTAAAAATTAAAATTCCCCTGGCAGGCATAGCTGAGTGGATTGAGCGCGGGCTGCAAGCCAAAACCTGCATTGCAGGTTCGATTCCCAGTCAGGGCACACGGCTGGGTTGCAGGCCACAGTCCCCAGCAACCTCACATTGATGTTTCCCTCTCTCTCTCTTTTTCTCCCTCCCTTCCCTCTCTAAAAATAAATAAATAAAATCTTTAAAAAAATAAAATTCGTTTTTGCAATAATGACAAATGCCCTGCACCTATCCTCATGCACCCCTGTGAAACAAGGTCCATAGGTATGGTCCCTTTCCGCCTCTCAGTGCTGGTTAATTTTGAGTAATTGTGTATTGTCAGAAAAATGATCAGTACTAGCTTTTTGTTTTTTTGTTTTGAAAAAAACATTTTTTGTTAGTTTGTTTAAAAGCAAGGCATGCTTGTGATGATTCTGTAATAGACTAATTCGGGTTGTTGAAGCTGCTCCCAGGTCCCACTCTGGAAAGTGATCTGGAACATTTCGTTTTATTTTCTTTCTATTTTTAGGAGGGGAGTGTGTGTCGGGGGGCTGTTTTTATTTAGTCACTTTTTAAAAAATTCATCAACCATTGGACAGCCCTTTAGGGGAGGAGGATGGAGTGATTCCACATTCCACTTCCTAGATCTAGTTTAGAAAACATGTTCTCCGCCTGGTGCTCTTAGAAAGGAGTGTTGTAAATGCCTCATTTAATAACATGCTCTTTTTTGAAAGTTGCCTTTTCTTTACACCCTTGAATAGGCTCAGTATTTGATGAAACTCACGAGAATGGGTAGAACCTGTCTTGCCCCTCCTCTTTTCTAGGATGCACTATATATGTGACTGACTTTCAAGGAAATTTGTTAACCATTTGCTGATTTTTTTTTTGCTGATATTTTAAAGTTAGTTTCTAGCTTCTTTCATTGCTAAGAAAAGTATTGCACTTTTAAAATAATATCAAATGGGTTGAATACATAATTTAAAAAACAAATTATTTCCTTGTCAGTCATTGTC